CTAACTTGAAGCAGTGCTCCTTCACACGCACAGCATGGCGAATTGATGATACTGTAGATCAAACAAGACACAAAAGCACTGCTTTCAGTTTAAACAAACTTAAAAGGAGGACTCTGTTTGTCTGGTGTTAGATATGTTGCGGTTCACCCCTCAAATTACTATAGAGAAACCCAGCCGTCTGCTAGCTGGCGTCTGAATACTGTGATATGCTCTGACATGGATGTGGTAGGAGTGAAGGCAGTAAGGCGGTGTGATCCATTACTGACTTACCGAGCCAGCTAATGTTTGCTGTTCGTACTAAGTTGACGTTGTTGAGAAACTAAACAGTTTAGCACTGTTGTTGGCCACTTGTTTAGCATTTGTAGCAGGGTAGCCGAGCACTCGTCACCAGACATTTTCTTTCTTAAATTATGACTGTTACAAAAACTGCAGCTGTGCTTTTCCAGCTGGTAAAAACAGCTCACCAGACAGAGACTCCCACTCTCCCATGACAGATTTGTGAAATGTTCCTCTGTTTGGTGAGTGTTTGTCATGTTCTGACCAGAAAGGATAGTTTTAAACAGCAAAAATCAGCCTTCAAATTTGAAAGAAATAACAATGACATTTATCGCAGTATGTATCGATATCGAACGATATGAATTTTGTCTATTGTGATAACATTTTTGGCCATACCGCCCAGCTCTAGATTTGACCATACGCAACTTTGATGAAACGGGCCATTGTTTCCATGGTACAGCATGTTCCACTCTTACTACAATTAACATTTGTTTTTCTGCAAATTTCATCACACTTTGATGGAAACTTAACTTAGCGCCACTTCATGAAAACACAAGAAAGAAGAAATACCTGATTTAGAGACCTGAGATATAACAAAGTCAGCTGCTTCTCTAATCTCATTGCTTTGCTTCCTGAAATCATTCAGAGCTTCTTCCACATTAGAGAGGTCCACATGTCTGTTCTCTGGCAACCAATTTATAAACAGCGTGACAAAATCAGAGTTTACACCACACGCTTTTAGGAACAAAGACACAATAGTACGGCTGTCCTTTTTTAGATGTGTCCGGAGGCTGTAGGACGGGTAGCCTTTCATCACAAACTTGTGACCAAACCAACTGGCAGTGCAGGAGATTTCCCACCATGGATCCCTGAGAGCAAAGCGGCCTTCAACCCTGCACTTCTCTCCAGAGGCCATGAAGTTCACTGCAGACACAGTAATGCAAAAATTATTAATATTATAAAACATTTGGAAATAAAAAAGAGGAGCACAGTTTTGGCAGGAAGTGATCAGAAACAGAATCAAACTTTATTGGCCAGGTATGCTTACACATACAAGGAATTTGGTTTTGGTTTCAGAAGCTCACAGTGCACAGCATCAGACAAACATTTACATGTAGTAAATAAAATAAAACATGCATTCCTACCATCACTCACTCACACACACACACACACACACACACACACACACACACAGTTATACCTGTAACTGTTACATTGTGCAAAGTATGAGTCTTAGGTTAAAGTGCTGAGTGCAGCAGCAGTTAAAGGGTGTATAGTGGCAAAGAAAAGGATCAGTGAGGGAACAGTCTGTCAGAGTATGGTGTGTAAATCTGTGTGGAACAGACAAATTTGGTAAAGATCAGGGAGTTCAGAGATGTTTTTTTGTAAACACTACCTATTGATTCAAGTCTGCTAAAATTCTTGCTAACTCAGGCCATACCATATGCCAAGTTCGCAGAGGGTCAGACGGGCACATGACGTGTACAGGAGCATAAGTTTTAAACGGCTATTTCCAGATAAGAGCGCCTCTTTAGGGCAGAGTCCATCAACGCTAAGATTGTTAGTTGCAGGGCGTTGAGAAGCAACCAAAAACTTTTAGATTTTCCACTATTTTACCATCACCAACATTACATATAAAAACTCAGAAGACACACGTAGGTCTAACTTTCAACACTTACAACGAGCCACTGTACATCAAACCACTCTGAAATACTTTGTTTACATCGCAGCGACGGAATTATGCAGAATTTTTGAAAAATCGATGGAATTCCCCTTTAAAGGCAGAGTAACAAAAACAGCCAGGGATAAAGAGGTTGCAAAATGGTCATGTAAAAATTATTTACGACTGCTATTGGTATGTAAACCAACAAAAAATGTTATAAGTGAATAAAATGTAATACAACAAACAAATATCTTAAATTAGCGGTATGTTTTGATTAATAAAGCTTAATCTCAGAAAACCTTGGTATATAATATAAAAGTGTGTGTGTTAACAGTTACACACACGTATAACTGTTAATTATAACAGTAACGTATAACGGGGGGAAATAATCTACGCTGTTGAATTTTTCTGCTGACGACATCGCGCTCGAGCTCGAACTGCTCGTTTCTGATCAGACAAAAAATCCCCACTCTTGTAAGGAGGGTTTTCTAGTTAAGCTGCTGAACATTTTAAGCATCATACTGAACCCTATGTTACATTTATGTACCTTCAGTCTTCGCTGGTACGGCGGTCTCAAACATGTAGCCCCCCGAGGAGACGGAGTCCATCTCCTTCATATCCAGAAACTCCGGCTGCTTCTCTTCTTCTTCTTCTTCAGTTTCAGAGTCTTCGTCCGCGTTTCTGTCATCCTTCTTATCTGCTAAAATGTGACCCACCAAGCTCACTGGCGGGTTTCGATGCGCCATGTTCAGGTTCAGTCGTTCACGGTTCGTTGCGCGTGCTTATGTAAACATTGCCCGTCCTTCCCGGATCGTATTTACCGCGCTGGTCACGTGATAGAAACGGCGGACGTCCGTCTGCTGCTTGTTTTGAGGCTCAGTGCTGCCCCCAGCGGATTCAGGGCAATATACTCTAAAGAACACTATATGGACAAAAGTATGGGGACACCCACACATTACACCTACAGGAGCTTTTATGATCCCATTCTAAATTCATAGGCATTAATATGGGGTTGGTCCCCTTTGCAGCTATAAAAGGTTCCACTCTTCTGGGAAGCTAAATACAAGACCTTGGAGAGTGTCTGTGGGAATTTTGTCCATTCATCCAGAAGAGTATTTGTGAGGTCAGACACTGATGCGGGAAGAGAAGGCCTGGCTCACAATCTCCATTCTAGTTCATCCCAAAGGTGTTTGATGGGGTTCAGGTCAGGGCTCTGTGTGGGCCAGTCAAGTTCTTTCACACCAAACTCACCCAGCCATGCCTTTATGGACCTTGCTTTGTGCACTGGGGCTCAGTCATGCAGGAATAGAAAAGGGCCTTCCCCAAACTGTTCACACAAAGTTGGAAGCATACAACTGTCCAAAATGTTTTGTTATGCTGAAGCATTAAGATTTCCCTTCAATGGAACTAAGGGGTCTAGGCCAACCACTGAAAAACAACCCCTCAGCATTATCCCTCCTCCACCAAACTTTACAGTTGGCACAATGCAGTCAGGCAGGTAACGTTCTCCTGGCATTCGCCAAACCAAGACTCATCCGTCAGACTGCCACAGAGAAGCATGATTCATCACTCCACAGAATGCATTTCCACAGCTCCAGAGTCCAGTCGTGGCATGCTTTACACAATCAACAGACACCTAATCTCACACAAATAGATTCATCTACAGGTAATACTGTTTTTTTTTTTCATTTTGTAACAATAGGTCTACAAAAACCTTGTTCCAAAATGATATTGTTTTTTTTTTTAATTGGAATCGGTTTATTGAAGACATTCAGTGGAAGAACATCTGGCTAAAACCTAGCCAATACCTAATTACTAATAAAATTAAAGAAGTATCATATAAACTTACACATGGAATCTACTCGACTAAAAATTACTTCATAAAATTTAAACATAATATTGAAACAGCTTGTTCATTCTGCAGCAGCTACCCAGAGACAGTTCTTCACGTATTTGGCATTGTTAAAATGTGAAAAAAAGGGCAAAACCTCAGTGCCTTTATCGCAAACAATATTGATGAAAAGTATTGTTTTGTGGAAACATGTATTATTTGGTCTTTTGTAAAATCACAGAGCTAAAATGCGCAAGTAAAATTTTATACTGTCAATGGCTAAGTTTTATATTCACAAGTATAAATTTTCAAGCAAAAGGCAAATTTTGGCTTTGAAAATGAGATGGAACATTATGATGAATTAATACATTACATTATGTATATCCCCCTAGCAAATGTATTTATGTGTGTGTACACTGTTATGTGTATTTTTTTTTTATATGAATCTGATGTTGTGTACTATGTTTTGCTTTCAAAAAGAAAAAAAAAGTGCTGCCCCCAGCATGCACACATTATTGAGCTCGACACAGTGTCCCCCCAAAAAAGCATTTGGATGCTTTAACCATTTAGGTTACTTTATGAATTGTTTAAAAAAAATAGAATCTTAATGAAAGAAAACCTTTTTAGCTCAACACCAAACTGATGATAAACTCATTATGTGGAGAAAACCTAGAGAACCCTATCCAGACTGCACTTAGAGTTCAGGTGGAAACGTCTGTTTTTCTTACAGTGGTTTTCTGCATAATTCAAGTGTTGAGATGGAAACAAAATCATTCAGAGTGGTCTGATGAGAAATGTTCATTGTAAAACATTCCAGCTCGATTTTTTTACAGTGGTGGTGATATGACCCAGTGATCGCTACTTCTACAACTCAAATATAGCTATTTTGTTCACTATCAGAAAAGACCAGAGAGCCTACACATGTCTTCTGAGTTTTTATATGTGATATTAATAATGGTTAAATAGTGACAAATCTCAAAAGTAAGTTTTCTTTGTCATCTATTTTGCTGTACAACACCCTGCATGTACCTCTCCTGCATCAATAGATTTTAAATCTCAAAACTATCATAAAATAATGTCTCAGACATGAGGCAGCGTATTCATAACCATGTCACGTAATAACTTCATGTGATATAGCTTTTAAAGGCATTAAACACTTCAGACATCTGTTTTTTTAATAAATGAAGCAAACAATTCCTGTAGAAAATGTTGTATGGCTTTAGAATATAGTATTTTTAATAATTCTTGCTGTACAGTATTTGGCAACTGACAAAAATTACCTACATACACATACAAAACTAGTTATAATTTTGAAATGACTTAAATAGCAGAGGTTTTCTTGGTCTCAGACTGAATACAAAAATAATTATAATAATAAAAAAATTAGCTCATGCAGTGAAGTATTCTTGAAATCCCCAAGAACACCAGAATACTTAAGTTATACTTGAGTTAATACTTCCAGTGAATGAATCACTCTGATGTCATTGAGAGAAGTTCCTCTGTCTTGATTGTGCCCTCGTTATACATCCGGATTTTATCCTTGAGCCTCCTCTTCGCTGGATTCTCAACAGTGCTCTGACTCGACTGGCTTTCATCACCTACAACAGAAGGAAAAGTGGTAAAGATAATGAGCAGGGTTTTCTTACAAAATGCAATTTTTAAATTTCCAGGTCTTTTAATGATTTTTGAATGTTTTTGGTGAAATGTGTGCTTGAAAAATAAGATACAAGGCAAAAATGATCTTCCACAGAGAGTCCAACTCAGCATCACATCCTTACATTATTGTGTGAATTATAAGACGTGTTGGGGATAACATGATGTAAAGTAACGTGTTACAGTAATGTGATTACATTTTATCGTAATTAAAGCAACACTACATAAGATGTTTTTGTTAAAACTGAAAGAAATAGCAGTACTGAGTCAGGAGAAAACACTCTAAAATATACTGTGCCTGCAGTGAGTCACCCTGTAAAGCCTGAAATAATAATTGGAAAGTCAGTGTACAGAAGTGTATAAAGTTTTTCAGACCACGCCATTCGTCTTTATGTATTAACGTCACATACGCATCCTCAAAAAGAAGGACCGGCTTGATGTTTAGGTCTCAAATGCAAAATTAACCTTATATTTGATGAAGAGTTCTCTTTGAATACTCTTTTAGCATATTCGCCATCATCATATTCATCGGCTTGAGGAAGGGGTCCAAAGCATAAACAATGTTACAAAATGCTCTTCTGGATTCTGCGTGCAATTACACATTTCCACCAGAGAGGTCTCCAAATCCCCCAATCTTACATAGTGCAGCTTTAAGCAGTGTAATGCATGTTTATATTCTGTTTATATTAAGTTTATATTCTTGTAATCACATTAATTACTAACTTAATAAGAATTTTATTACTTATGTCTCAAAGAGAACAATATTCCTTAAGTGCGATGCATTTTAATCATAAATTATTTCTGTATTGATTATCTATCACTGTCATTGTATGTAATTTGTGTGCACAAGTTCTTGACATAAGGCCTGTTTCTTTCTAAATAAATTATTGAAAATGACTGGATTTCCTTTTGTACTTTTCAGTTGCTATAAATATGTGCGTGCTTTAGAGAGTAATATTTAAGTAAATTAATGAGCAATACTTTTACTCTTTACTAGGAAATAATATGCAAAGTAACATAAAACTGTAATTATCTCAAGACTGATCATTAGTAAGAATTTTACTGCAGTCAACATATTTCTTTAGCATAAGATTGTTATTTATCTATTAGCTTATCTAGCATTCTGTTTGTACTGTTTATAAATGAGTCTCAATGCCTAACCCAGAGTACCTTGACACTAGACTCAGCTACAACACAATCCCATGTGATTCCTAATATTTTGAGAGTTCTGTTTTTTTTATATAAGATTAAATTAAATAGTACAAGTGTTACCATACCACTTGTACCTCACAGCATTAGCATTCATTTTGCAGTTTCGCTGTACATACAGTAGAAAACCTACTGGAGGTACTTCTGTATCCTAGTTTAGAAGCACACATTACTCACTCAGAAAACTCACAAAATGTGAAAATACTGGAATATTCCTGTAAGTTACTTGTGTGTGAGTACATCCTTTAACTTGTTTCTACATGCCTGTAGGGATATACGATGGGGTGTGGCTGAAGCCATTGGCGCAGCAGTCTTCACAGCCCTGTGTTTCAGCTCCAGCCGCACAGCTGCACTCCACTGGACAGCTCCCATACAGATCCAGCTCAGGCTCATAGTCTCTTTGGTTTTCCATCAGAGCAGCCCTGGAAGGGTGCACACTCTGCTCCATAGTGCCCAGGAAAGTGACCTCTGACTGGCTGCACTCACAGGGCCCTGACTCTAGTGGCAGTTGGGGCTTCACCAGTGGATTGCACATTTCATCATCCTCCATAGGCAGGCTAGAGCTCGGTCTCTGGTTGCAGACAGGTAGCAGAGGAGGGGCTGTGTCATCTAGCGTCCGCGGCTGGTCTTCAGGTGGGAAGGGCAGAGGGAGAAGCTGGCTCAGCTTCTGTAGCACCTAGAGGTGGCATATATGTCACTGCTGTCATTTCCAAAGTTTTTTTCAGGTTTAACTGTTCTATATCATTTGAAAACACCAGCTGTCCTTTACAATGTGTGAATATATTATGCTGAATGGACCAACAGAATTGTTACAAAATTACTTGTTATGTTAATATACATTACAATAACAATGCTTTGAGTTACATACATATTTTGTTATGATAGTGACAACATATATTTATGAAGCAGTTACTCACTTGTTAACTAGTACGATATTTGCATTTAAGGGACCATATAATGTAAAACTCAATTTTCTGTGCTTTTTTGGAAAACAAGAGCTTCATGTGGTATGTAAACACTGTTCTCAAAACATACCATTCATGTCCCAGTCCATATATATAGAAACTAAGCTGCAAAAACAGCTTGTTTTGAAGCCACTGTTTCTGTGATGTCTAAAAGCCAACATATTTACATACATCATATACATACACCTATACAGTCCACAGCAGTTTAGCCCAAGCCATTTATGCTGAAGTTATCAGGGGCGTTTCAGCCTGGACTGCTTTCCGAAAGAGGTACAATGCAGGACAGCCAATAACAACAGAGGCCATTTACATATATTAGTCTAAAAGGAACAGTAAAAGAAAAGAAGAATGCAAGATATGGGCCCTATAAGGTGTGGTAAATGGTAAGCATATTGTTTATGCCTGGCAATACTCCATTCAATTTAGTACAACTTCACTGAACTGAATTAAATAGGATAATGTTAGACATAAACAGTACTGTGCAAAAGTCAAAGACTACACTTTTGTTTATTTAATTTCCTCAACTCAAAATGACTAAGTACAAATTATTCATTTTTCAGTGTCAGAAACATATTTTTAAAACAATATTCCACAAAGCTTCCAATGCTAATTATATCAATTTCATTAATATTGAATTTGTCCACACTTTGTGCACCTACTGCCACTTTAACTCATACTTCCTTTCAATCCCAACCAGTTCCAGCTGTGTCCTCCCAACAAAAGCTGTTCCCAAAGAACTCACTGACATTATGTTCCTCTTCAAGCAGACACTTTCACACAAGCAGCAACCCAAACTCACCTCAGCTGCCTCACAACGTTCACTCTCATTTGATTAGACACAAGATAAACAACTTGCAAAAGGAGTCAAAGGAAAATAAGCGAAAAAACGGGGCTTTCCAAAAATGATTAAAAGATTGATATATATGGACTTGTACAATACAGCATGATATGCATATGATTTTACTTTATGATATCTGCTCCAAAGGCAGGGTAAAATCTGTCTGTTGTAGAATTACCCCATCGTGTGTCTGCAGTACTCACAGTGTCCATACTGGGTCTGGCTCGGGCTCGGCTACTCGTACACTCCAGTCCCAGGCGCAGCAGACAGAGCGCTGTTGCAGTGGGCCACTTCCCTGCTCTGGAGTCCAAAAAGCACAGGCAGGCATCCACACAGCCTTTCTCTTCTGCTTCAAAACTCAGCTTGTCCCTCTTTGAATATATGAATATATATGTATATATATATATATATATATATATACATATGTATTCATATATATGTATATATATATATTGAAATCTGACTTATTACAGAGATGTCAGACGACAAGTGTAAACCTCTGGATCTACACACAGTGTTCTTACAGCTGGATCCTTACCAGTAAAGTGTGCTTTGGTGCCTCTTGTATCACTTTCTGGCCTGTGCATGTCTCCAGGATGACCTACAAGAAGAGTTGGGCAGAATACTTAGAAAAAGCAGTGATGGCTGAATACTGAATGCACTGTCCTAAATGTATTCGGTAATATATTCCATTGCAATATAACAAGATATCTATATCTTGTTATAAAAAACAAGATATTCAGAAAAAAATGAAATATGTCTTGATAAGGCACATTTGAAATCTCTGCTGTTGTAACATTAATTCATTTGCACTTTGCTTCACTCTTACTGGTTGGCAGTTTTTCCTCATGTAATTCTTCTGTTAATGTTTTATGAAAAAGTTGCTTGTCATTCGAATTAAGCTTTCATTCAAATTATTGATTTGTTTTATTATTTACTGTAATCACATTTCAGTTCACTGCTACCATATTTCCCTGAGCAGGCCTATCATCTCTTTCATGAACTCTGGGACACTTTTAGTACCCTAAAATCTTTATACTCTAATCTTTTGTGTTTTGAGGGTGGTTACAAGCCATCTAAATGTAAATATGTTAAAACTGTTTTAAAGGTCAACACCCTTCTGTCTTCTTTTATTTGTGCAGTCTGTAATCTTCCCCATGTTGACAAATCACTAAAAAAATTTGGCTTCTGTGGCAAATCATATTTCTAGCCCAGCAAAACAGGAAGCCATAAACGATTGCTCAAGAGTTTCTGAACACTAAGGTTGACTTCTCAGACTACATTTACTTCAATTAAAGGCTAGGTTTCTTTCACACTTCCAGAGTGAGATTGAGCTAATTAACTATAAAGACATCTTTTCATTACCTTTTTTACCCATTTTTACCATGAATGCCAGTAATTATAGAGCTGACTAGTTAACAAACAAGCACTGTTGGTGTTTCTCCCTTCTGCTCTTACTGAGGAGAAGCTCAAAGGAGCTCAGTAATGATGAGATAAATAACTGGCTCTTTACATTGATTTATCAGTCTACTCAGGCTTTAGCAGTAATTTTTAGTGTTTGCAACAAAACCATTTGTTGAGTTCTCTTTACAGACCACCTAATCATCATGTCTGATATACGCACTGTGCTGATTTTGAATAGCTAATAAACAAGCACTGATGGTGTTTCTTTTTAGAGTATTTTTTTATTAAATTGCTATATAGCTTTAAAAATGGATGTAATCAGTGGATTAGCTTTCTTCGCTTGGTAAGACTATGTTGTGCGACAGGTTGTATCCATACTGATGGTACAGCTTTGGTTAACAGAGTGGGGTCTCAGGTGGGCCATTCCAAAGTCAGACAGCTTGAGCTGTAAATGCTCATCAGAAAGTTTGAACTGTCATTAGAACATAGAGGTGGTTTGGCCTGAAAAGTAAGACTATGATGGAAGCCCACAAATGGCAAATGGGAGCACATTGTTCTAATGTGAGCTCAGTTACATAACAAAAAATTACATGTGATTTATCCTAACAGTGTGACCTTTAACATGCAGACAAAATATCATTTGAAAATAACGTTCAGTTATACACAAAAGTTTGAACACCCCCTGTTAAATTATATGTTTTCTTGATTTTCTTAATGAAAATAAGCTAACATGTCATCTACAGGGGACACTGTAGAACACACTTAAAGTTTCTGTTAATTTAAGTGCACAATTCCTATTTATTTGTTACGTTTAACATATTGGAAAACAATAAAGCATACAGTATAAAATGTGCCATAACCTTTGCACATGCCACATGTTACTTATTTTTGTTTTCAAATATGTTAAATACAACAAATCAACAGTACTTGTGCATTAGAATGAGTAGAAGTGTGTTCTCTGTAGAGATTGTATGAGCTTATTTTCACCTAGAATATCAAAAAAACGTGTAATTTGACCTGTGACACCCAACTTTTGCATCTGACTATACTCTTAATTGTGTGCGATTTCCCATCAGGTTAAAATGCATTTTTGCCACTGTTCTGTAAAGCTTGTCCAACCTTGCATTAGTTGTGGGCAGAGCATAGACAAGTCAGTTGTGTAGGAACACTGGACTTCAGTGCTTATACGAACAAGGGGGTTATGGACTCACCATGCCAAGGCTGTAAATGTCTAATTTGACAGACAGCTTGCCATCACGTATATACTCCTCTGGTAAGTAGCCCACATTGCTGCGACAGGTTGTCTCCATACTGATGGTACAGCTTTGGTTAACAGAGTGGGGTCTCAGGCGGGCCATTCCAAAGTCAGACAGCTTGGGCTGTAAATGCTCATCCAGCAGAATGTTTGAACTGTCAGTAGAACATAGAAGTCAGAAGCTCCACAAGACTGAAATGGGAATTCCACTGATCTTCCAGAATTTCTCAATAATTAAAAAGGTACTAAGTAAAAAAAGTCATTCAGAGTGGTTTGATGCGAAACACTGTGTTGTAGAGAAACATGCTGAGCCAGAATTATTCACACTTGTTGTCTTGGGAACCGGATGTCTGAAGAGTTTAATGCATCTGAAAGCTTCCTCACACAAGTTATTACATGAAATGGTAAACATAAAACATTGTTTTATAGTAGTTTGTCGAAGATTTTGGTCTAAAATGTTTTTTAATACAGTTATGGCATTATGAGGTAAAATGATACCTAAAGAAAACATGTTTCTTCAGGTTTACCACTATTTTACCATCACCAACATTACACATGAAAACTCAGAAGACACACTGGTCATTCTGGAGAGTAAATAAAATGGCTATATTTGTGTTGTGGACATCACAGCCTCTGGTTCCCATCACCACACCTGTAAAAAAATCGGAGTCTCTTTGTTTTTCTACAATAAATCATTTCACTTCAAATCGCTCAGACTTACTTTGTTTATATCCAAACAATTGGATTATGCAAAAAATTGGAAAAATCGACAGAATTAGCTTTTAATATGAGATTTACCCATTGTAAAACAATATCTTGTTTGTTAGTCAGTTATGATAACATTGATCTTTACAATACTGATATCACAGATGGCTACAACATGCAAATGAGACCACTAACCAATCACAAAATTGTTCCCTACATCCTGTGAGCAAACTAAGCAATCACAGTTGTTGCTTGTTGAGTGTTCTGTGGGTTTTCAAAGCATTCACATGATCTAACAAATGTAAATAATTTTGGGTTCATGTCTGTGTTTGTAATATTTCAGTGTGTGTAGCAACATAATTATGATATGATATTTTGTCCATACATGCAGCTCTGGGTGTAGAGCTGCACAATATGGGCAACTGTAATATAGCACTATGATTGCTCTATAGCCGAGATAAGCTAACAGTGCGGAAATATCAGTTCGCCCTTACCTTTTGATGTTGCCACAGATAACCATACATGGCTGTGCGGTATGCAGATGGTGCACAGCCTTTGCTGTTCCTTTGATGATATCGAGCCTCTCCTTCCATGACAGAGGTGTTTCAGTTTTCTGTGTGAAAACAAATGTACATGCTCATCCTGATACAGCCCAGCTCACAAAGCCCTGTCATATTCATTCTGCTGAGCTAGTCAAAAGCATGCTCCACTGCTACAATTTTAGACAGTTTGGTAAGTGAGTGGTTCACCTCACTGTGCAGTTTTTGAAAAAGAGATCCATTAGGCAGGAATGGAGAGACCAAGCAGTAGTGCTCCCCCTCTGAAAAGCTGCCCCAAAGCTCCAAGATGTTGGGATGCTGGTAGCTGAAAAAAAGAGAATCCAACAAAAATGTAGAAACTTCTTTCAGTTATTTGATTGATGATGTTGTCATAAAAGGTGCCTGTGTTATTAAAATAGTGTTCAGAAGTTTGGAATCACTTGTCATATTAATAATTCCTGTTCTTTTATTCTATTTTAACATCTACACTGTAGATTCAAATACTATAAGCTAATTACTGGAAGGTGTTTTAAGAAGTTCAGTTTTTTGGGGAATAATAAAAAAAGTTAAAAGCTAAAAACAAACTGTAATTATCTATTTACAGTTATATCTTGATAAGTTATCTACCTGGCACTTTTGCTATGAAACATTCTGGATATTAATTCTAACTTAATTCTCAGCATTATTGAGCTTTCTTGGTCATTAAGGAACATCTACAGTAGGCATACACCAAAAAAATAGGCCACTGAAAAATTTCAACCAAAAACGCACTTTCTTTATTTCAGCCAAAAGAGAAAAGAGGGAAAAGATTAAAGATATCTACAATGAAGTGTCTAAATTTATCAGTGAAATGAGAAATAGTATTTGTTTTCTTTGCTCTCCTGAGTTGAGAGGACTGGGAGAACAGACACAGTCAAACAGTTTGAGCAGCTGCAGATAAACAGTGCAACACTCAAACACAGACCACTGCAGCTGCGTTCTATTAGGTCTTAAGCTTACAAGCTTTTTAACAAAATGGATAAAAATAATACAGAGTAACTCAGCATCTTTGGGTAATAAACGTCTCCCCCTCTGGTTCTGAAAGACGAAAAACACTTGCGTTTGTTGGATCTAAAGTGATTTGCATGCTAATAGTGCCCCCTGCTGGAAAACTTCAGGCTGCTAGGCTGGACTTCCAAATCCATGTCCAAGGCTTTACATATTAAAAATCAAGGTGGTTTCTATCATTATACAGTAGAGACACTTTGAAATTCAGCTTGAGATGTCTTTGGGAAACCATGAAGTGCTAATTTTCATAATATGACAACTTTCAAAATTGAATATTATTTAGGAAGCTGTTTAAAATTAAATTAGTCCTGTAGTGCTCTGAGTTCTCTTTCCCAACATGTCATCAGTGAAGCACTGTCAGCATTATTTCGTTAACTCAAAAGCATAAAATAAAATGGCAAATTATATGTAAAAGAACCTTCTCTTTCAGTTTTCAGTTTCAGTAGAGTGTGTCCTGAATGTCAGTTTCGGTCAAGAAGTTTCATTTCGGTGCTTCACTGATTAAAACAGCTCTATTCATCACACTGGATACATCTAGCATAACTTCTTTTTCACAGCTTCCAATTAGTCAGTGAAGCTGCAGAGTCATAGCATCATAAGAGAATTATTTCATACATTTAGCTACATTTTTAAACATTTAAACAAATAATCCCAAACTTTTGAATTGTGATCTCAAACTTTTGAACACTACTGAACATAAAAAAAAACAGGATTATTCAGTGACAAACTTCCAACTTTTTACAAAATGTAAAAATATGTGTAAATATGTAACAAAGCACCAGTTTCTGAACTTACAGTTGAAGAACTTCAATCTCTGTTTTAAACTTCTCCCACAAAGCCTTCCAGGATCCCTTGTTCCCCTGTGTTCAGAATGATTGTGAGTTTGTGAGCGTTGATTCTGCATGTATATGTAGAAACATTACAACCAATCTTGCTTAAATAATAATGTGTATTGTGTATTTTAAAACGTCCAAACACAAAAGAGTTATCATTCAGAAGTGTTGGACAAGCACACAATGTAAAGGTGATGCACTGAAGTCAAAAGTGTGCATCACTGCCACATTAATAAGAGATATTACATCAACACAATTCTGTCTTTCAGCTTTCGTAATTTTGGCAATAATTGTGTTGATGTAATATAATTTACTCATGAGGAACTGAGGTACACATATAAGTCAAATAAAATCAAAGGAAATGATTAATATTGCTGTGAGCTATGAATCAGTTGAGTCAGTACTTTCTGATTTTGCATTTAGACACTGTTTGCTGTTCCAGAGAGGAACCTAAGGTCATATGTGAAAAACTCTTAGACATAGATTTGTCCTACATGATGTCAGAACTGTGGTTGCCAAGCCACACAGCACCTGCTTAAAAACTTTGACAGCAAAGCTTTCATTTCCTCGTCTTCCACGGTACACTTCTGAAAACTTGCCCTCCCCAATTTTCAAATCCTGGTGGAAGTTCCTAGTTCCTTCTATGACTTCTGCGTAAGTGATCAGGGGTCTTTGCTTTCTGGCTGTGATTGAAGGGGAAAAGAAACATTGCTTTAACAAAAAAGATCCAGCGTTTAAATATCTAGACATTTTCAGAAATAGATTTATGTACACTCAAATTACATAGTGAAGAGAATAGTTTATAGAAAAAACTCAAAACAAAATTTCTCCCCTTTCCTCAAACGTAGACAATCAGTCAAGTGAATCTATGCACCGGAACAGTGAGGCTAACAAGGCAGAAAAGATTTTGAGTGGCATAGGCTTCCATTAGCCTCATATCTCCCCTGCAAACCTGAAGAAGCAAACCTCAGACACCAACCATATCTTGGCCGATCAACTATGTTTGAAGTTAGGAGGAAACCTGCGTCAATCTGATTTTTCTGTGAAGCATTCATTTAAAACCAGTAACTACTATAATCATTTTCAATTCATTGTGATTCTAGAGGGTTTAATAAGTTCAATGTAAGTGCACTACCTTGACCAAACACGCAGTCAGGGTGAGGGCCTGAAGGTGAACTGGGCTCTTCACTGTTGGTCTGAGGACACTATAACCCAGGTCAAACTCATGTGAGATCACATGCCATTTTTTGGCAAATATGATTTACGACAATAAAACATTTCAATGACAAACTAGGTTATAGGTTTTTGAAATTATAGTATATTATAGATGTTGTTCAATCACATACCTTAGAAAATTCAGGCGTTGAAGAGGCATTGGGCATACCTAGAAGAGAACCACAAAGTCAGATCAATAAGCTGAAAACAAGCCACTACACATTCACAAAATATTTGTGTTGTAACATTTTGGTTTGTATGGTCACTTTAAATAAGTTAATAGAATGTAAAGCACATTAACTTGCTATTTGGGCTTAACAAAGTTTAAGGCAGAACTGGTACGTTTAGGCCTGACATAACTATTACATCACCTGATCACAAATATTTGACCTGACTGCAATCATTTAAACTGATTTCCCACAGTTGTTAGCTTTCATAGTCATATGTTTATGTCACAACAAACAGAATGTAAATTGGATGTGTTTTCATCAGTTGGACAGAGGCAAACACACAAAAGTAAGGAAGGCACAAAATGCATTTATTGAGACATATCACAGGTCTTATGAACACAGCAACTTAAAGGGCAGAAGTGAGTACTGTTTGTTTACTTGAGCTCAAACTGTTGTTAGATGGAAGATACCAAGAGAAGACTGCTGGGAAGCAAGACAGCTGACCTGCCAATTTGGCCACTTTGGGTTTGTACTTTAATAGTTGCATACAAAGATAAAAAAAAAATGCCATTATTTATAAGGCAATTAAACGTGAGCTAAAATTTCACGATTGTTACAGGTGAAATGACTTACTTTTAACTTAACCTTTTTTATAGTGTGGGCCATTAAACTGGATTATGACTTGATAATTAAGTGCAGGTGTTTAATTTACTTTTAAGTAATAGTTATAAGCCAGTTACCTGATTTCCTGAAATGAATTATAGGAAACCAAATGTCCTTGACCTGAGTTAGCATAACATTGGGCCTCATTCACCAACCATTCTTAAGAAGAAATTTCTTCTTAAAACCCACCTATGCAGTTTTCAGGAAGATTCTTACATTCACCATCGTTTTCTTATTTGGGATTTGTTCTTAGGTAAGAACAGAATCTACACACACTCCAGAGCACAAAGGTGTGAACAATTCTGTGGCTTAAGAACACTAATTTCAGAAAACACTTAGGAAGATATTGGTGAATGAGGCCCATACTTGTTATGCATTTATACTTATTAGTAAATTCCTAATTAACTTCACCAAGCACAAGACAAGCGCTTGATCTTTTTACATGTTATTATATTATCTTAATTACATTAATCTAACTAGGTTTTCCAGTGTGATGATGTTGAGGGACAGAAACTCCTTCACCTGTACTCAACAGTATTCTCTCTGAGCAAAAGCTAATACTGTGGATTAGAAATGAAATAATGGTCTGGAGACAATGCTGACATTTAAAGTCAATAGTAGAGAAAAGAGGAACAGCGTGTGCAGACACAGAACTAGAGTGGAAGTGAAACACAAACAAGAAAAAATAAAACTGTCAAAGTAAGAGTAAAGGCCCAGCACAGGCCTGAGGGATTCATGTTGTGTGAAAATGCAGAAGCCAAATAAACATGCACGTGCATGATCTTCAATAAGAGATGTAGAGCAGGTTCATGACAAAGTAAAGCCCAAAGACAATGCACATGGCAATCATAGATACAATGAGGGGAGGACTTCCACCTCAAAATACGCTCACTTTCTCTCTACCTGTCACTTTCATGTATATGGGATACTCTCAGTACCACATATACAGCTTATGCTTGGTAGAACCTGTATGTGTCCCAGCACTCTCATAACTCAATAACTTACATCTTAGTGTCATAGTACTTACTGAATAATTCATAGCAGGTAGAGAATAAAAAAAATGACTTTAATTTAGCGTTTAATTAAAATTCTACATCTCTTTTGGCATTCATCTTTTCGATTTGATCTGTCTGCCTTACAGGATTTTCATCAAATACTCATAATTTCTTCTATTAAAGGGGAGCTCCACCAATTTTTCTAAATGACTGCATTATTTAGAGGTTGAAATATAAACAAAGTCACCCAAAGTGGTTTGATGTTGCATGGGTCATTTGTAGAGAAATTTGCTGACTCAGATTTCTTTACAGTGGTGGTGATAGGAACCAGGGGTCACCATGTCTACAACACAAATATAGCCATTTTATTTGCTAACCAAAATCACCAGTGAACCTACACAAGTCTTTTGAGTTTTTATATGTAATACTGATGATGGGAAAGTAGCGCTAAATCTGAAAAAGAATGTTTTCTTTGAGGACTATTTTGCCTTAGAACACCCTGTATGTATCCCTCCACCATGAATGGATTAAAAGACACTGATTAAAATATGTTTTGGGCCAACATTTTTTCACAAAACAACTGTAAAACAATGTCAGGCTGAGTATTTGTACATGTTTCATGGTATAAATTTTAGTGAGGGAGCTTTTTAGAGGCGGTCTGGTTCCTGTCACCACCACTGTGAACAAGAACGAAGCATTTTACACCAAACTGCTCTGAATGACTGTTGACATGTTAATCATTTAATTACGCAACAAAAACGGAAAAATCGTTTGAATACCCTTTAAGCTTTATCACCTGTGTGCAAAGCACTCTGAGCTGCCACCGGTGTGAAAAACTGCTCTCTACATAAAGATCATTATCATGATTACAATTAAATAACAAGTCTATAGGGTTTAAGCGGCGATGACGTCAGTACAGACCGTACATCAACTGAGGTGGGAAGCAGCCTCACTCACCCTGTGACTGAAAAAGGTTCAGCGCTCGATAGTGGCCCATATCCTCCAGAACCCGAACTAAATCTGCGACAGTTTTATTCTGCTGCGCCCAGGACCAGACCAGTTCATGGGTCGGGCTTCTGCCAGCGGCTGCGTGCATCTCCGTGTGCCTCACGTCCAACCAACTGGGCAGGACACGCGCGGCTGTGAGGAAGTATAACATAAACAACAGAGAACGAGCCTCAGACAGAACGGCAGGGGGTCACTTGTATTCTTCGAGGAAGCTCGTTAAGTGAGTGGCTTTCTTACCCAAACCTCTCCATCCAAGGCTGTCAGGGCAGCTGTCCATCACTTTACAGAACGACTCCATTAACAGCGGCGGGACGTCGTATAGATACGTGGACGGGTCCACTTTGCCGGACATAGTGCAGAACGGTCTGTACTGCGTTAGGTGAGCAGTGGCGTTACTTTACGCTATTGTCAGAGATGTTGCTCTAAGTTGGAAATGCCCACGCCCCGCCCACTTCCTACGAGCTACTGTGAGTGACGCGCATGCGCCATTAGTCTTAGTTGGTGACACTGTATGTCTAAAGGTTTGTAGACACCTGCTCATGTAATGTTTCTTGTGACATTAGTTGTATTATTAGGGAGTTTGCCCCTCTTTGCTGCAGTAATCTATTAGGTTTTACAATAGATGCTGGAACACTGCTGTGAGGATTTTACTGCATTCAGCCACAAAAGCATTAGTGAGGTCAGGTACTGATGTTGATGATTATTTCAGGATCACCAAGGTACGGAGCCCTGCTTGTGACATCCCATATAAATAAAAATAATGCATGGCCACGCTGTATTACCACATAGGAACGAGATCCTAATGCGTGGGAATAAGATAATTAAGTTGTGACCATGACTTAATAAGGCATGGAAACGAGATCATGCCTTATTAAACTGTGGCCAAGGCTTACTAAGTTGTGGCCAAGCATTAGGATCTTGTTCCCATGGCTTACTAAGTCATGGCCATGCATTATTTTTGTTTATACAGGATATCACCAGCAGGGCTCTGTACAAGCACCACTCCAACTCATCCATTTTTTATGCATCAACACGTTATAAAAACAAAGAAAGGGAAGCAGCTATTTAAAAGAAATAACACACATACCAGGGGTTTAAAAAAAGCATATAATAATGAAATTCAGTGTATAAAGAGGCAAAGATTGGTCGTTTATCACTCCATTTTCATTTTGGGATAAAAAATTTGGACATAAACAATGTTAATAAAGAGATTAATACTAAGGTAACTAGAATCAAAAAAAAAAAAACCTTAATGTCTTGATACTAAAATGCAGGTAGATCAGAGTAAAAGGTGAAAAGCTAGTCTCAGTCCAAAAGGTTTTTCAAAAGGATGTTCAGTGCTCAGGATAAACAGATGACAGAATCTTAAAGAGAGTTTCCTTTACTTTGGGAGGGACAGGAAGTTTGAGGTATTCTTTAGAAGCCTTGACCCACACAGGGGGTTGTACGTTGTTATAAAAAGCTCTGCTGAACCCGCAAATAAAGTTTCACTTATAGCCGTCCTCATCCACACACTGTTACATCCAAAACTCATTAAACCCAGACCATCAATTTGTACTTTAGTTAGATAAAGATACATTAGAATGTTGCATGGTTCCCTTTATAAGAGTAGTAAGGCAGGAGTTTTACATACTTTTGCGAATTTTCTACTGTCAATATTAAATTAAAATTTAGTCATAAAGTCAATAATAAACAAGCAGTTACCATCTTTACCCAATAACTCACAACCAAATTGAAACTTATGCTCAAACAAAATTAGTTTAAAAGTTGATTTCCTGTAAATAGTGATAAATCTATTATTCCAAAGGCACTGGGTGAAGCTTCATCACTCCAAAGAACACAGTTCCACGGCTTCACAGCCCTGGAATTCCGTGGTGCTGCAGTTGCCGCTGGGCAAAATGATTAATGTACATCATGTACATCAGCTGTCTACCCCCACATATTGGAGTCATTTTTAGTACTTGGTTGCAAATCGTTTGCGGTCATAGATTGCCTGAAGTAGAACACAGACGTTACTAGGCACTGGGTTTCATGTCAGGCCTTTACTGCAGCTGTCATCAGTTCCTCCTTGTAACCGAGGTGTTTTACCTTCAGTTTTGCCTTCAGAAAGAGAAATACACACTCTTTAAAGTCATATTTATTTTTTAATTTAAACTCCAATATGCTGTGGTAGACAGTTAAAATAACAACTGTTATTTTAGTAACAACTGTTATGTCAGTGTTCAACTATTTATGGACCTGACTGTATATTATTATTTTATTATATCTACAGGCCCTCAGACTGAACAAGTGTAGATCATTCTTTTTAGGCCTACAAGCTTTATATTAATAAGTTATTCAGCAGAATCTTTTTTGGCATATAAGAAATCTACAAAGTTATCACTTTAGGCTCCTAACCTAGAACAATGAGGAACAATGCAGAAATGACAGAAAGAGAAAAAAATAGCAAAAAGAAAGGAAAGAGATGAAAATTGGATCAATATTCAGAAGACAGAATGTATGGAGAGAGGACAGACTAAAAGGAACATGCAAGAACATATACAGCCATTTTTAGGATGGAGAAAGCCTCAGCTGTAGTTCTATGCCAGAGTATGGAACAGGCCGAAGTTCACCCTTTTTGTTTCGACAAATATTTAGCCAGTTCAGTTCATGACTGTTATTCGTTAAGCCAAATGTTGAAATGTTTTATTGCTCTACATAGGATTTACTCTACTGCTAGTAACTATAGCAAGTATGGTTTCTATAAGCTTAAAGCACTGCCCCAATACACGACTGTCCCACTTTACTTGAAAAAGAAAAAACAGTTGAAGTGAAAAGCATAGGACGGAAAATTCACTTGTAATTTGTTGCATCACTCACTACAGAGTGCATTGGGAGCTTCATAAAATGGGTTTCCATGGCTGAGCAGCTGCACACAAGGCTAAGATCACTATGTGCAATGCCAAGCGTCAGCTAGAGTGGTGTAAAGCACGCCTCCCTTGGACTCTGGGGCTGTTTTTCAGAGTTTGGGTTCAGCCCCTTAGTTCTAGTGAAGGGTAATTTTAATGCTACAGCATACAAAGACATTTTAGATAATTATGTGCTTACAACTTAGTGGCAACAGCCCTGACATCAGCCCCACTGAATATCTATGGGATGAATGGCAACGTTGATTGCAAGCCAGACCTTCTTGTCCACTCAACAAAATCTTGTGAAAAGCCTTCCCAGAAGAGCGAAGGCTGTTATAGCTGCAAAGAAGGGCACCAGGTCTGTATTAATGTCTGTGGTTTTGGGATGGGAAGCCCAATAAGCTAACACAGGTGTGATAGTCAGGTGTCCACATACCTTTGGCCATATTGTTTGTACTGCCCCCTGATTCCTGAAAGAAATTCACAAATCTTTTGAGATGTTTTTCACTGTATTGCGGAGCCTCATATGTTGGGTCACAGTGGTATGAATCTAACCAAACTGATCTGAATACATACAAGCCAATTTAAGCAAAATAATTTATACGCACAGATATAACAAGAAACTCTGTTGGAAAAAAATAACAAGCTTGTGAAGTATGGTATTCAAAAGAAGTGGGTTGTTTTACACAGGATTACCACAAGTGACAAACCACTTCCACATCATAGCAAAGCACTGTGAATTGATTAAACCTGAAACTGACTACGCAGTATGGTTTCAGATAAGATTAAAACTGATTCCAATGCCAGAAATTTGTAACATAATAGCTTTCATTGACGATGTTTCCAGTGCACACTGCATCTCAAAATTCAGACGTCAGTATGACTAGTTTACCAACATAACATCTTACTTTATATTTTCCAAGAGATGAGCCAAGTTCATCATAGACTACTTTAATCAATGTTGTTTTATGATTTGCCACAGCACTACATTCACACATTTAAAAACAGGTTGTGTTTGGAAAGGTGAAATAAGAGAAAGAACATATACATGATACATAACATAAACAGCACTGTCAAGAGACCCCAGTTTTCACCATCACTTTTATTTATCAGTACATCATGAACAATAAAGTATTCCTAGCACACCCATTAATATCATAGGAACATATTTGACCAAGAAAATATTAACTTAAACTTAATAATGATTTGATTTTTTGTTGTTTTTGTTTTTTTCCAACTTTAACTTAGGAGTGAATGAGACAGACTTGGTGCATTTGCTCTGAAGTGCTTAACACATAAGTTGATTTAGTACAAAGACACTCATCACTGCATTTCACTACTGACATTCGTTATTACCCTTAACAAAACTGATAATTATGCATGTTAAATCACGATCAAGAATCCCACCATAAACAGATACAAAGTGCTGAGCATAATTTGAGTGTGTAGTTAAAAGTATACATCAACAGCTAGTGTTATTATTGACACATACCTTTAAACATCAAACAAAGCAGGATGAGGTGAATCATGACATTTACTTTCAATGATTGCAAATTTCGACTCATTTAAATGTAATCTGAGTCTACACATTTTCAGCCTTTTAGATTTTATACAGACCATACAATGTTTCAGCTGCACGTGGTTGCATTCTGTGTATAAGCATTTTCACATATCGTCACTCTTGGAACAAAACCTTGTGTCTCCAAACAGGTAATGTTAGAAGCGAAGGAAAAACAGTCTTAATGTGTGAATGTTAATGGAACAAGCATTTCTGTTCGTCATATGTTTTTAACACACTGTAAAGGACAGCAAGTGTTTTCAAATTATATATATATATATATATATATATATATATATATATATATAAAGACAAATATAATGATACAAGGTTTTGTTCTGACAGCAACAATGGTGTAATTGTAAAGCATTTGCAAATATTCTATTGAATATATCTGTGTTATAAAATGTGACACACATTGGGCCATGGTTCAAAATATGCACGTTCCATGTGACATTCGTCTGCAAGAATATCTTTAGCAGGCTACAGTTCCACTTCAAGTTAATTACTGCAAATCAAGCTAATCACTCAGTATTGTAGTTAAGTCACCTAGTCTCAAATTCTCTGTTCAGTGCCTAAAGTAAACTAAAGAAACAAAAGAAGAAGTTAGTCTCCACTGCCCCTTTCCCAGTGCAAACATTTACTAAAGATCTAAAGTATCAGCTAACGTACATTCCTTTTTCAATGTATATCGGATATATTTTAAACATTGGAGTAAATATTACATATTTTATGTATAGTGCACTTATGTGCTCTATAAAGGATCTAAAATAACTTTCAGCACTTAAGTATGTGGTCCACATATCTTCCACCTATCTGATATTACTAAAATTATACCAAAGTTTGTACTGTTACATCGACATCAAATCCAAAGTGTAGTGCAGGACCAATTTTCACCACCTAAAGCATTTACAAAATAGATATGCTCGGCATTAGGGATGCACTAATATGGACATTCTGGACCAATGCTGATCTACCAATGCTGATACCAACATTTTCGTGAACAGTTCCAAAGTATTCAAAATTTTTTAAAAAATATGTTCAATTCAGCAAATAAACAGTAACTGGGCATTTAAATGTGTAGAATTGTGTTCTCTGTAGAGGATGTGTACTTATTTCCACTTAAAATATCAACAACACATGTAATGTGACCAGGGCACCCAAACTTGTCCGTATGACTGTTTAAACATTTATAAAATGTAGAAATTGGGACTACCTGGATCAGCATTATGCGTAAATATCTATACATTTCTTTTTCTACAAAGTTGTATTAAAATGAATATAATGCAGACATATTATTGCAGGAGCCCAGTTCCAACGAAAGTACAATAAATAAGGCATCATATGTCGGTTTAAGACATAGCTCAAATCTAAACATCTGTCGGACACAGATATTTGGTTTTTTTTCTGCCAATACTAATATGATTTTGATATCATCGTGCATCCCTACCCCGCATAATGTATACAAAGGCTGTGTCGCAAGTCTGTAAAGTCCAAGTCGAAATCACTGCAGAACCTGCAACCTACTACATGACTGCATGGATCGATACATGGTGAAAATTGGTACTGCAGTTTTTTTCATGTCATACATGCTTTTTATAGTGGCTCAATGCTCCAAAGACAGTGTAACCACAGGAAACAGTGCACTCTTTTCAGCATTACGTGTCACCATCAGATGGCACATAACCAGGCTTCTTACATATCTGCCTCTGTAAAAAGAACAGAGAACATCAAGTTAGACAAGCATGGAGAGTCAGATCGCATAGCTCTGTAAGTGGGAACAAGTGTTAGAGCAAAACGCTCACAACATGGCATATGCTGCCCTTACCCCATACAAACTTCTTGACGTTGTTCATGTGTCTGACTTTGCAAGAATATTCCTCTTTGTTTTGGGGTGTGAAGGATACACTCTTGGTGAGGTGGAACTTCCAACCCTGCTCAAAGGCCAGGTCTGTCTGCTTGGCACCAGGGATCTCCACCTCATTCTTCAGAAGTTCGATGTTGATGTCTGGTGGGTGGAAGCCGCTCACATGGCAGATCAGGACGTTCTCTTTGCCGAACTCACCAGGGCTGTAGCTGTACACCTGAACCTTGGGCTCAGCTGAATAACACATAAGGAGACCGTAAAAATGGGCAATGTGTCAGGTGACATCAACAGGTTCTACTTTAAATCTAGAATAATAACATCTTTAGACAGCTGTGTACCATAATTTACGTAATGTAATATGACAAAATGAACAGATATACATGTCTAGTTACATTGCAGAGTTGCAACTTTCTACATTTACTCCGATCCACATTTTCAAGAAAACAGTGATCAATTTCTACTTTTCTGAGTGTTTTAAACACTAATTCTGATCAGTTATATTGTGAGAAAGGACTCTAATTTTTACTCAGTGACATTTTGTGTTTAAGCTTATGTCAGTGACAGTATCTGTACCTCTTTGTGTGTCACACCTCTGCCTTTAAAGCTTTAGCATTTTATCTTTCATCAAAAAAGAGACGAATGGTGCCTAATAAACTTGTACTTTTACTCAAGTTGTGTTTTAGCAAGATACTTTCCTGCACTGAAAAAAGATGGCTTACAAGTTGTTTTAAATTTACATGATTCAAAAAGGTGTATTTCGCAGAGCCATAGCCAAGACAAGAGAAAGGCCACTAGGCCTGGGTGATATTCAAAATAATTAGCAAAATATTTTTAAGTTTAAAAATCGTGATTATTGATAATATCACCCAAACCGCCGCATCAAATACACATGGTCCACTGCACCTGTCACCTACTTTCAATTGTATTTTAGTGTATATGTTTTTTTGAGAATTTAGTATTTTAATGAAAATCTTTAATAAAACTAATATAACTATAATATAATATATAGTAATCCAATAACCTTTAAAAACTACTTCACCAGTTATTATAATTCATATTACTGCAAACAAGCTTCTTCTATTTGTAGATTTCTTCAGTATCATGGCGACTTGTGTGCTAATAGTGCTCCCTGCTGGAGAAACTTCAGCCTGCAAGCAGTTTTTAAAGCCATGACCATGCACATTCCACATTACAAAAAAGGTGTTTTCAGTCAATAAGGCAGAGTTTTCATAATTCAGCTAACCACCAGCACACTTTAGCTGTACAGAAAATACTGCACATTTTACACATCACACACAGAAGTCTTTTAAAGGCCCCATGATAATGCAGTGTTTCAACAGTAAAACTGAATAAAACATCGTGTACATTTAATTCAATACTAGTTACTGCCTTTTTTATGAGAACACCAGCTGTGGACGGCGATCAGAAGAGCTTTCTTTCCACGTTAGAATTAATTTAGCTGCTCTAGAGTAATATCCAGTCACTTCCGCTTTTTTCTTTTCTTTTTTTACTGCAGCGAGTCACTTTGAGGCAAGCTTAAGTTAACATAAACTAAGAAGGGGAGATCTTGGGGTACAGCTAGTATTACAGTGTGTAGCAAAGAGAACCAACCAGCATATTAACATCCCAATCTCTCTCTGTCCCTTAGAGAAAAAAAAACTGACTATTGGGATGTGCTTTTCTTCTACTGGGGTGTAAACTTCTTAAACTTGAACCAGTTTCCCAACATATTGTAGCGACTTCAGAAAATGTTTAAATGTGATTCTGGATTATCTGTTCTGCTGCAGTTATCTTCTGAGTTTGTTTCTACAAGGACTTTTGTAGTGAAGTCTTTCGTTGCGTTGATGCTTAGTTCAGGAAGAGAGTGTCAGTTTTATTGTTGGAGCCTAGAAGTTAGAGGTAGCGAGGCCGTGAGTGAACCATTCCATGTGTGAGGCAAGGCTGGAGGCAAATACAGCCTTAAATAAAGCTCAACAGTTTGTGAGGAAAACACTGTCTTCTTCTTTATATTTCTATATATTTACAAGCTGTTTAAAAGTAAATTGCTCTCTAGGTCTCTCTCTGTTCTGATCCCAAAATGCTGATTATCACCTTTTTACACATCGCCATCAGGTCACTTATCCATCACCGATATCTGATTAAAATGTCCACCCTTCTGGCCCTCCAATTATGGAAAGTGAAAGAGTCAGCTATTATCAATAAAGCATCAATTATGCTTTATGGTGAAACTCTGCTAGGCAGCTACCAATCAGTCATGAGAGTTATAAGCAAATTTACTTGGCAAACAGGCAGGTGAATGTCACTTCAGCAGTGCTGCTCTGTGAGCTACGTTATGAAGATTAGATGTGTTAACTATAAAACACTGATGGAGAAAAAAGTTGAGAGTATGTGTTGTAGGTTACCTTATCCAGTGTTGTCTGGCTAGCTTTCTAATCAATAGACTCATCTTTAACCTGTAGTGAATGAACCCTAAATGAATAACTTCGACAACCTGTCTATTTGAAATGTTTCTCTTAAGGTTAACATTGCACACTGAAAAAAGTGAAAAATTTTATTTTCTTGATTCAAATACAGAATCATCCTCATTAATGACTAAAACATCAATGCTATCAGAACAAAACCTCGTTTCTCCAAAATGGTAACTTTAAAGGAAAAGGAAAAAACATAATTTACTTTTAATGTAATGTAAATGTCAATAGAACCAGACATTTTTCCAAGTACTTTTGCGTCATTTCATTTGGTCCATTCATCATGAAATTTACACATAATGTAAAGGGGTCACAGGCATTTTCAAATTATTGTCAACAGCTGAAAAATTACATAAATTGGTATACAAGGTTTTGTTTCCGACAGCAGTGCTATATGTTACTTCAACACAGTTTTGTCTTTCGGTTTACTTTCGTCAAAAGCTATACTGATGTAATATGTTATTCATGTGGACAAGATGGACAGATTTACTTACGTAAAGAGAAAAAAAACAATGCATGATTTTGTTATTTTCATACAGTAACACTGTTTCATCTACACTGTAAAAATGGCTCATCAGATCAGCCTAAAAAATAGGTAACAAGTAAATTAACTAGTTTTATTCAACCTAAGTAAATACTTTGAATGAACAATTCTTTCAATCAGTGTAATTTTTTGAGTTGAATAAATCAGTTTAATTGCTTGTTATCACACAAAGTCATGTTTTTAGATTGATCTGACGAGCCATTTTTACAGTGTGCCTGTAAGTACTTCATTTATTTGATTTACACTGATGTAACATTTAATTTGTGTGAAATGAACCAAAGTACACATTTGAATCATGTAAACTCAGCCACTTTTATTGCAGTGCAGTGGTAAGAAAAGGAAAATGAAAGGTACTGTTTCTCATTATTTCACTGAAATAACTACGCTTTGACTTGAGGCTGGATTTAGGCTACTCTAAACTGTAAAAAAGGGTTCTACGTTTAACCTAAAAAATAAATAACCTAACCTGATTGCCTTAAAATTTTGATTTAATTGAACGCCAAATATAAGTTATCAGAATGAAAAACACAGAAAACTGTTATGTTAACTTCCTATTTGAAATGAACTCAAAACTTTAAGGCAACCAGGTTCCTCAATTTTAAAAAGATAAACACTCAAATCGTTTCAGTTTACCCGGCTCTGTGAACAGACAACTGCACCTATGACTCAGCTAGTCAGAGCAAAACGAAACTGAAGAAAGGTCGGGAAATTCCGAGCATTAATATTAATATATTATTAATATATTAACTTACAACATTAGCCAGAAAGTCTCAATACTGTGTCCCAAGCCTCCGTACGGTTTTAACTGTCAGTATTAAACTCTAAAGGCTGTCCAACATAGAGGGAAAACAGTTTAATAAATCATTCATTTAAGGTCATTTCCCCGTTCCAGCTACTTTAGCGTTGACTCCTGACAGACTATTAGCACCTGAGAGAAGAACCTGAAAGGCTCTGAAATACACAAGACTGACTGAGAGATTAACGTTACTTACATAGTTTTGCCAGTGAGCTGGAGCCCAAGACCACAAACACCACAACAACGAGAAGAAGCTTCATGTTTCTCGAACAATTAGAACAAAATCTGCTTGAAACGTCTGAGCTCTGCCTCAGTAACAGCTTCACATCAAACCGAAACAAAACAGTTTATTCTTCAGTTGACCTCAAACCCCGCCCACCTGAGTTTTCAGCCAATGAAAATAAAGAATCTCTCTGTTACCGGGCGATCCGGAGTTCCTCAGGTTTCGTTACTGCACTAAAAGCTTGAAAACATATAATCACTGATGTACGAGTTCTGTTATTGTATTAGCTTTGGGTTTGGTAGAACCGAACCCTAGAACGTGAATAGATTAGACCGTTAATACATTTTTAATTTCTTGATTTTAAGCTTGTACACACTCAAAAATTATGGTTCTTCAAGGGCTCTTTAGTAAAGAAAATGGCTCTATACAGAACCATGAGCACTCAAAGAACCCTTTGCATGATTAAAGGGTTCTTTGCATGGAGAATGTGTTGAATATGGTTCCATATGGAACCTTTTTGAAAAGGGTTCTATATAGCACCAAAAAGGGTTCTTTTATTATTACAAGCTTGACATCATAACAATAGAAGAACCCTTTTCAAAAAGGTTCTGTATAGAACCATCCACAGCTCATTCTCCATCAACCTGAAGAATGCTTTCACAATGCAAAGAGTCCTTTAATCATGCAAAGGGTCCTTTGAGTGTCTATGGGTCTTTATAGAACCATTTTCTTTACTGAAGAATCCTTGAAGAACCTTCATTTTAAGAGTGTAGATAAATCGATAGTTTAACATGGCCTGCTGGTCCTCTTGGCACTTTATAGCTTGAAAACTAGGTAAGCTGAAAACATTTCACTAATCTGAATCATATCTATTGGCCAAAGAAAACAATTTAAAAACTGTAACTTTATGGTTTAACTTTACATCATTTGTTTTGGTTTGATTGTTGGTTTACAGTCATAAGAATTGCAAAAGGACTATATGCTGAATGTTCATGTGATAATGCTATGTTTTGGTGCTAATGCTTGGAGAGCGATGCTAATTATCAAGCAGTTCATGAGTTGTTAGCAAATAAATAAATAATTAAAAAAAATACAAAATAAGTAAAATAAATTTTGAATTTAGGAGGAGTAAAGGGACCCCTATTAAAATACATTGTGCTCACATGAGATGCTCTATTCATCTAAACACAACCAGAAATGATAATCAAAGAGTTGTTTATGATTATTTATAACTCATGTCTAATAGTTATTTCGGATTGCCATTATAATTGATATTGGTTCAACATCCCAATATTAATAAAAAAATTAGAGTTTTTGCAAGAAAATCTGAACATGATTGGAATTTACAATGATTTGTGCATGTAAGCAGTGCAGTCATCAATGACACAATGTTTCAGAAGAAAAAATATTGTTAAAACAATATTTGAAACAATCAGTATATTTATGAAAGAAGTTTATTTGGTAACCCATTTACCTGTTTGTTTGGTGGCCTGTTTGCTTCGCATGCTGTTTGTATTGTGTAACAAGTACTAAATTTATGCCAGATTCGCTATGGGTCGCCTCATAGTCAGACCTTTCACCAGGAGACCCCCTACCCCCCGAAGACCTCTGCCACATTTTAAACCTTGAAAAAATGTAGCAGTATGCTAACTGGTTGCTATGGCGTAGTTACTCATGCAAAGATCTCAAACGCTTTATGGTGTGATTTTTTTAAAGAAATGTTTGATTCAGAAAAGACTGTGATTCCCAACCTTTTTGTAAAAACAAAACAGTCACCCCATGCATCTTATATTCTGTAATCAGACCATACTGAACTGAGTATGGGTAACAAGATAAATTTCAAATCAGATAAATCAGAAATACCAGAATATACTATATCTGAATAATGTGTGATGTATAGTAGACCATTGAGAAAGTTGTGTACATTATCAAAAGAAACCCCTAAAAAATTACAGAGCACCAACAAAGCAGCTTTACTTTAACTCATCTGCTACTTTAACTTCGACTCAGCAATTCATGAATCCAGCTTAGGAGTCTAATCTTTAAAAGCTTTTTAACTACATTTTGAAGGCTGATGAACATCATTTAAAAAGAAAGAATAAATTGGCCTGTGAAATTCCTGAATGTGTTCTAGATGTTGTACTAAAACTTGACTGCTATTTAGGGGAAAAGCCTTGAACCTCTCAATGTAAGCCTTTAAAGTTATTTTCATACATTGTTTACATAGAAATAACGAGCATTTTTGAAGCATTACCCCAAATACACCAGACTTTTTACACCCTGCTATAAAAATGATTCTACTCAGGTGACCAATCGGGAGGAATGATGTCAGTGGAAGGGGAGGAGCTTGAACTTGAAGATCCTGCAGAGACAAGATGGCAGGATGGCTGCCATATGCCTTTCACAAGCCCTCAGACACACTTTTTAGAATCATGCTAGCTGCTATCTTTTGCATGTTTGCACATTTGTTTAGTTTTAGTTGGAGTAGATATCTTGTTTTTGAGTTAGGTAGATTGTTTGGTTTTGTTTATTTCTTTTTTTGGCACTGTCCATGGTTGTTATTCCTAGGAAAGCACCAACCTGGTTTCTGGAGAGATTGACATTGGAACTCTGTATGATGTTTAATGTTGAACTGTCTATCATGCATAAATTATAGAAATATATGTGATGTTTTTCCAGCTTAAAAGTCTCTCGTGTCACTTCTCTTCTTCCACCACATCTTCCACACCTGCCTCATGTTTGCGACCCCTGTCCCCTAGACTTAACCCTGGGTCATAACACATATTATAAACTCCTCTGCTTTTAACTCGCGATTAGACACTGAATAAAATTACAACATGCAAAAAATGAGAAAGAACCAGTAAAATTTACCAAGCAGAAACTTAAAAGCAGCAAGTAATGTAAATTCTTTCATTTGTCAACATGGCATCGAGTCAACAGCACTAGCATTCTTCCACTCAGTGTGCACAACAGCTTCAAGTCCATAACTCTACGCTGCCTGAGCAAGATGATGTTGGAGACCAAGTTCAGTTTAAATCATAGAATCATAGTGCATTCTCCTGAAAAGAAGAAAATAAGCTTTTGTTCATGTAATGTAAAGCAGCTTACAGCAACACACTGCATCAGTTGTCTATAATAACATTCAAAAGTTGCTTCTACTCTGTTCATCTGTGAATTTCTACATATGTTTGCGTCAACTCTATTAATGTATGAACTTCCATGTGTGCATCATAAGATAAGGTTACACACCTTCTGTCATCCCTGTTCAGTTTCCCTTATCAGCCTCTGTAAAAAAAAACAAAAAAACAAAAGGCATTTTCAGTATAATATACAAAAAGGCCTTTAAGACAGAACTGGTAGCTTAGTGACAAAGCTGAGACCAACACTCACTCCAGGAATATGTTTGAGGTTTATTTTGTGCATGTGTGACTCTGCAGATGTATAAATCTTCCTTTTGAGGTGTGAAGGATACGCTCTTGGTGAGGTGGAACTTCCAATCCTGATCAATGGCCAGGTCTGTCTGCTCGGCACCAGGGATCTTCTCTCCATTCCTCAGAAGTTCAACGATGATGTCTGATGGGTAGAAGCCGCTAACATGGCAGATCAGGACATTCTCTTTGCCAAACTCACCAGGGCTATTGCTGTACACCTGGACCTTAGGAGGAGCTAGAGAAAAAAGTTGTGGAGATGAATAGGGTATAACACCTCACACCTCAACGTTGCGCTAATCATATTTGAAGCCTCTTTTCTTTCTAGAATCTTTATACAAAGCTTCTTTGTAGATATGATTGTATGAGTGAACTCAACCCAAGTTACAATGTAGAACAATCAGGCCAACACTGTTCTGTTCCTTTTTAATCTTATGAAAATCTGACTGTAAACATATAAACAGAGCTCTATCCATCAAAATTCTAGCTGTATTTCTTGTATTCCTGAGCATGCAGGACAGGCATTTGACATCATTTGAGCTGAGGCCCAGTATTATATTAGGTTTACAAAAATGTATGGAAAATTTCAAAGAAGTATTCGTTACTTACATTCTTTTGCCTGCGCAGTGACGTACAGAGCACAGGCTACCACAAAACACAAGAGCAGCTTCATTTTGTCAGAGATTCAGTTGAGCTCAGCCACAGCGTTCTTCTCAGTGCAGACTGCTTCTGTATTTATACCAAAAGTGAGGCAGCATCCACTGTTAACATAGAGCTCTGAGCTCATCTACCACTATATATTGGCCAATCACAATATTGACATGCTATAGTGGCCAGAAATACCTGAAAATCCACTGACAATAAACTACTCTTGTGTTGGTATTACTGTAGGAAATTAACAGCTCAATCACATGATGAAGAGCAGGGATAATGACAGTTAAACTGACAGTAGTGTTCAGTCTCACAACATGACATACAAAAAGCCATAGTTTTCAGTTAGTGTCACTTACGTCCATTCTTAAGGAATGAAAACTTTCTTAATGAAATTGGTTTGTACCACCTATTCACATTTCCTGATTTCACTTAATAGGATTGGAGAAGCTAATGCAAAAGTGTAACTGACCAGTTATTACGGGTTACCAGTTATTCTCCTCTGAAAGTAGTTATGTTCCAGCACTTTCGATAATAGTAAGAAAACCTTACTAACATACCAAACTCATGGCTGAATAATGTGTGAATGACAGTAGAACATCAAAATACATTAACCAAAAGAAAGCCCTGAAAATTACACAAGAGCACCAATAAGTTGTCTTATCTTAAAGGTATCTCTACTTTAACTTGAAGAAAAGTAAAAGTAGTAACTTCTCTGCTGAACCACAACACTGGCAAGTTAAGGAAGATTTATGCCTACCACATGCCAACCGACAAGATCTAAAGGAAAAACTATAATACAGTAACTTTACAAATACAACAAAATGTCATACAGTTGTACAATTGTTTTCCTTTATATTTTGACACTGTTGCCATACGTACAGTTGTCCTTTAATCTACAAAAACTCCAAAACTACGAAAAACTCAAGCTTATGTTTTATGCAGGAATAAATTTAGTTCAACCTGTCTGACTCATCCACTAATTTCCGAGTTCTATATCCTCAACATCAAAGTAACGATATTACACAGACAGTAAAGCCATGGTAATGGACTTTTCTTACAGGGAAGTAGGCCTATTTCAAAAATGAAGAAATTTTAAAAATTCCTTTATTGAAGAGATACTGTGCTCAAAGTAGTCTTGGGAAACTCTCTAAGTTATGTCTTGTTTATTTATTATTTTTAAGCTAAAATGGTCATCTATTCATTTGTATACAGCAAGCCATACACAACAGTTTTACTAACAGAAATTTTAAATTAAACTTAAGAGGCCTGTATCATGGGAAACAAAAAATAAAAAAAGTCTTTAGTGTATTTAAACATTGTCAAAATGTACCATTCACTCTCCAGTCCATTCATTGTATGTATGGAAACTAAGCTGCACAAACAGCCCATGTTGTATTCTTGTTTTGTGATGTCACAAAACCAACACACTTACATACCAGTCAGGCATAACATTATGACCACCTCCTTGTTTCTACACTCACTGTCCATTTATCTGGTCCACTTACTATATAGGTGCACTTTGTAGTTCTACAATTATAGACTGTAGTCCATCTGTTTCTCTGCATACTTTGTTAGCCCCCTTTTATCCTGTTCTTCAGTGCTCAGGACCCCCCATGGACCCTCACAGAGCAGGTACTATTTGGGTGGTGGGTCATTCTCAGCACTGCAGTAACACTGATGTGGTGGTGGTGTGTTAGTGTGTGTTGTGCTGGTACAAGTGTATCAGACACAGCAGTGCTGCTGGAGTTTTAAACACTGTATCCACTCACTGTCCACTCTATTAGACACTCCTACCTACTCAGTCCACCTTGTAGATGTAAAGTCAGAGACGATGGCTCATCTGCTGCTGCACAGTTTGTGTGGGTCATCCTCTAGTCCTTCATCAGTGGTCACAGGATACTGCCCACAGGACGCTGTCGGCTGGATATTTTTAGGTGGAGTGCTGAGAATGATCCAACACCCAAATAGTACCTGCTCTTTGAGGGTCCATGGGGGGTCCTGAGCACTGAAGAACAGGATAAAAGGGGGCTAACAAAGTATGCAGAGAAACAGATGGACTACAGTCTTTAATTGTAGAACTACAAAGTGCACCTATATAATAAGTGGAGCTGATAAAATGAACAATGAGTGTAGAAACAAAAAAATGTTATGCCTGATCGGTGTATATCTTCCTATTCAGCCTGCTGCAGTTTAGCTCCACCCATTCATATTGAAGCTATAAGGAGTGTTTCAGCATAGACTGCTTTTTGAATAAGGTACAATACAAAGCAGCCAATCCGAACAGAGCTCATTTACATACATCAGCGTTATAGGCACAGTAACAAAAACAGCCTGTTTAATTCTAAGGAATAACGAGAGGTTAAGATGAGCACACAAAATGAACATGAACTATGACTGATTTTAATATATAAAATCACACAAAAGCCAGAAACAGACCTTAAGGGAAAAAATAAACCTGAAGATAAATATAAGATATGGACTTTTATGTACAGCAAGTAAAAGTACTCAAACATTAGTGTCTCTGTCCTTGTAGGTCATTATTTACTAATTTATTTATTATTTTTGTCATTATCTTTGCTATGCGGGCTGTTCGTATTGCGTAACAAGTACTAAATTTATGCCAGATTTGTTATAGGTCACCTATTTTATATATTTACCTTACCTTTTTTGAATGTTCTAGGCATGGAGTGCATGAGTTTGTACCACTGATGCTCATCTAGACTTGTTGAGTGTTCTCTTTTGGATAAGCAGAGAGATTGTAGCAGGTTTTAAACTCTTTATGTCTCTGTCCACCACTCCAGCACATTTTTCACTCTTGATTTAGGAGTTTTCAATATATTTGTAATCTTTCTCTCAGACATTTTGTTACCAAAAGACATTTTTCACAGATTAATCCAACTCAACATTCAAGTTTTCTTTTCAGAATGTTAATGAAATTTGCGGCCAAGTGTGTTGGATGGTGGCTGTCCACCCAGCTCTGGTTTGGGGATTGTTTAAACAGGATGTGTGCATTTGGATTAGTGCCCCAACATTTAGTTTGAAGAACAGTCAGAGGGGAGGGATGGTTACATGAATTTTTTCTAGTTGCAAAGTATTGGTTGATAAGGTAAAATATTGCTGAAATGATGTACTTTTGAACATGGTAAAGCACAATTTCCATAATATATTAACGAATTAAATAATTCTACAAAAGACAAAAAACATGATGACAGAGGTGTCTCAAGACTTCTTTTGAGTACTGTACGTGATCAGGCAGCATTTACTTCACAAGATCACAAGATGTGTCATCAGTGTAAAGATCACAAGATGTGTAATGAATGTAAAGATCACAAGATGTGTAATGAAGGCAGAGGGAGAGTGTAAATGTTTGCATAATGCATATATAGCCATTTTATTTACTATCCAAACCCACCAGAGAACGTACACGTGTCTTACAAGTTGTTAAAATTAGTTGGTCAAATATCAGTAAATCTGAAAAATAAGTTTTCTGTTTTGTTTATGTACCTCTCCACCATGACTATGTCTAAAAAAAAGACACTTTAGGCCTAAAAACCCTCTCAAAACTATCGTAAAACAGGCATCAGGCAGCATATCCATGACCAATATATGTAGTAACTTTCTGTGAGGAAACTTCAAGAAGCATTAAACTCTTTAGATGTCTGGTTCCTATCACCACCACTGTGAACAATTCTGACAGTAAGTTTTTCTAGAACGGTGTATTTTAAATTACACCACTCTGAATTGCTTTGTTTATGTCTTGACCATTTAATTATACAGAAATTTAAAAAAATCGGGTGGAGTTCCCCCTTAACAGAATAAATAGAGTCAAGCCAAGTGTAGCTGTATCTCTGTCATATTACACCTATTGCTCTCTGTTTCTCAGGCTCTGGAGCTGCGAGCATTGGCTCTGTAGTTGTGGCATACCGAAGCGGCGAGGAGGCGCATGTTAAATGCGGCTTGGCTCAGAGGCCTGTTCCTCTTTCCGCAAACATTCCACCTTTACCCCAGTCACCATGACTACCCAGAACAATATTATGGCACCATACTACGGGGAGACCTTGTAATGTTTTATAGTGTTTGTAAGAATCTATAAAAAGTCTACGTATAGACTGCAGGCCTGTCTGCTGTCTTACCCTTTACAGCTCACACACTCATTCTTTATGGTATATGAACTGTAAAGGTAAAGGGTAAGATATTTTATATTGGCTTTGACACAGTTCATAACAAAAACACATGTACCTGACAGCATATATTTTACTGCAGATGGAATGGCACCAACAACAATATGAAAAAAGTAAGAAGATGTAGTAGGTAGTAGGATAATGGAATATGTTTGTGTTTTTCTTTTTGCATCAGAAAGTCAGTGACAGTTAGTCCACCCTTTTGAAAAAGGGGGAAGTGAAAGTGTGGGGAGGTCATGTGATAAAGTCATAGAGCATAAAGCCAGTGAAATGGTGAATTCCATTGACATCAGACTCACAAGAATGTGCTGTGTTCCTTCTTCTGTTCACTTGATGGCAGCGTTGCGCCAGTGTCAAACGTCTCTCACGCTCTGTTTGTAAGAGGAGTTGAATTTCATGAGGGCATGATTATTTGGACCAACAACAAAACTGTTTACACTTGGAAATTACAGTTACAGCTCCTTTAGGATGCCAGGTTTTAAGATGGGTTCATGTCTTCTTAAGCTGCTTGCTAATTTGCATCACTCCAGGCTGGACATGAGCTAAAAAGGAGCCATTATTTTGGATAACAAAGAGAAAGCTCCTCATACTTATTGAACATCCTTGTTCTTCTCATAAATATATTTTCATAATTTTAACGTCGGTATTAACCCGTTAAAATCGCAGGCTTATTACATACAAAGGCTTATTATTCAGTAACTACAGGGACCTCAATGCAAACTGACTGAGTTGTTCTTAAGTAATAGAAGTGTGTCATAAATTTTGGGCCTGCCAGTGGTCTTTGGCAGTTTAAGGAGTTAAAGAGGAACGCCTTTTTTTTAATTGGATGTTTTCAGAGTAATTCACTCATTAGGATGTGAATGTGCCATCCTAGAGAAACTTGCCAAGTT